ACAGCGCAGCGCCCCATCCCCCCGACACTCGCCGGGCGAGCGACCCGCCCAGGGTCACTCGGCGGGGGCCGGAGCACGGCGCTTCTTTCGGCCTCCTCCCCCTGGCGTGGGCTGGGCCAGGAGAAACAGACGGTCGGGCGCGTGTGTGTGCGGGGGGTAGAGAAGGGGGCTGGGCAAAAGGCGCAGCACCCGTGCGTTGTCCCCCTGCCCCCCCCCCCCTCATGGCCCATTTCCTCCGACGGGGAAAGTTGGGTGTGAGGTGCATTGAGAGCGTGCTCCGGAGTTTATTGCCAAGAGACACGTGTCGCCTATCGAAGTACTAAAACACCATTGGCCATGGCACGGGATCGTCATCGACGATTAAACTGAACAACACGCCGAGCCGCTTCCTCACCCGGGCGGGTGTTCGCGGAGGCAGTGACTATCGATTAAACAACGCTTGCAGAGCAGCCACGACACGTGACACGGACATAACTCCTTCTCATCTGACGACTTGCCCATCGCCTGCCCTCGGGCGCGGGCCATGCCGTCCAGGCACCGCGATCCTCCCGCGTCTGCTCATCGCGCTGCCTGACCGAACCAGCAGCAGTGCAGGTGTCCCGCATGGGGGAGACCGCCCCCCCCTCCCCGTCCCTCCCCACACGACGACGGCCGTGGCGGCCTGCGTGTGACATGATGGGACGCGAGTGCGCTGCGCTGCGAACGGGACCTATCATGCGCCTCGGATCGCGCCTCGGATCGCTCCCCGATCACCCCCCCCCCCCCGATCACCCCTTGTCGCTGCCTGCTCGCCGAGGGGCATCGATGTAGGATGGTTAGACACTCCGGCTCTGGCTCGATGTCAAAGCCCTTTCGGTGATAAGCAGGCCGCCCGCGGCATGCGCGGGCCTCTCTCCCTCCCTCCCTCCTCTCTCTTTCTCTCTCTCTCTCTCTCTCCCTCCCTCCTCTCTCTTTCTCTCTCTCCCTCCCTCCCTCCTCTCTCTCCCTCCCTCCAGCAGCGCACCTATTTCACCAGCGCACTCCGGCTGGAAGTCTTCAATCCCCGGGACGCATGCCCGCGTCTGTGCGAAAAAAAAAGCCTTGCTGCTTGAGGACCTGACTGCCGGTCCTCAGTTCTTCTGAAACCACTCCTGGACCGGGACTCAGGCTTTGGCGGCCCGACCGCCACGCACAATCCCCCGGAGCAGCTGACGGACCACCGGGAAACTCTCCCAGACCGATGAACTCCTCGCTTAGGCCCGGCCAGGTGGTGCTGTCCTGTCCCGGTCCTTCCTTCGGGGTGTGCCCGAACTCGGGAGGGGAGCCGGCCGCTCCATGATCTTGCCAGATGTTGGATGGCCCCTGGCTTTGACACAGCCATTCTGCGCGACCCCATCCTTCGAAGGTTGCAGCATCAGCATCCAGCCGAGTGGATTGTCAGGCCGCTGTGCGGGTGACTGCCCGCGCCAAGTTGCTTTGCTGCTGCCCTGCTTCCGGGATATGGCCCTAAGCCGGAGGATGGCCCTTGCGGCGACATTCCCTGGCACCTCCATCCTTGCCAGCCAAGGGGCCTCTCGCTGCAAAGGTACCCCTGGGGAGGTCCCCTGCCGGGCTGCTCCCGCACCCCATTGCCCGCACAATGGCAAGGTGCCCCATCACCCCATTGTTTGGCTGGTTCGTCATCCCCACGTAGGATGGAATACCGGGGGCGGGCCGGGGCACCCTGCGTGACTCGGCTGTCTCAGCCAGATGCCCGTCGCTGCTGGCGAACCGGAGGCCCGCGGGCCGGCTCGACGGGATCCGGCACCCTGGGCCCGGAGGGGCCTCGGGACACCCGACAGAATGCGTGATCCTCGAGCGGGGGAACGCCCATCCATGAGCCCTCCCCTTTGGCAAGGCGTAAGCATCAGATGCTCAGATGCACGGGAGTTGCGATGGCCCGAAGGCAGGGCCGTGCTGGTGGGGCTGTCCACGAGCATGCACTATCCGGCCTTGGCATGGAGGTGCCCCCTGGTCAGGCCATCTGGCAGAAGCACGCCCGCCCGCCTGGCGAGGCGTCTTGAGTGCACAGCCCTCTCGGGGGAATGAGGGCCACTCTTCCCCGATGCGTTTGGGTGTAGGTGTCCATGCTGCTGGTCGTGGGACAGCAGCGCCCATGCAAATCCATGCGCCCCGGGGAGGTGACTCCCCGAGGAAAGGAGGCCGGCCGGCCGCCGGCCCGATGCCCTCTCCCGGGACCGGGGTGGCCCCGCTTGCCAGGGGTCTGTCGGAATGCGCGGCAATCGAAAGGGGGTGAGCTCGGTACCAGACGCCCGCATTTCGAGCATGCCGGCTCTGTGGCCGGGGGCACTTCTCCCAGGATGGGGCGCGGGACTTCGATATACATTGCATGTGCCAGTGTGCACAAAGGGCACGACCTGCCGCAACGTGCGCTTGGTCGGCCGTGTCCGGCCGGGATATCTGCAGCCCCTCTCCGAAGCCCACGCCCCCCGAGCCGTCGGGTCGTTCCTGCCGGTGGCAATCGCGCGCAACCGGGCCGAGCCAGGGGGTTGGCCTACCTAGCTACGCTCCGGAGTGTCCATGATTCACCACCTCGGTGGCTGATCCAAAGACACTCGACCAGGTCAGGCATGCAGCCTCCTGGACAGGTGCCTCGAACGCCGGCCCGCCCCGCGAATGCCCTGTCACCTGCTGCCCTCACCATGTGCCGATGAAATCTTTTTCCATCCTCCTCTCTTGGCCTGCATGGTACGTCTTCGCGTGTCCCTGTTTTTTTTTTAATACGACGGCCAGCCCCTCTGCTCATGTCCTGTGGTACAGCACCCCGGAGCCCGCCCGCGATGCTCTTCCTGCGACCAGCGGATGTCCTGCGGCTTGCCTCTCCAAAGCCCCTTCCGGCGCATGGGTAGGATGGAAAAATCGGCCGCATGTATTATCACAAGGTCTGGTGGCTGGCAATGTGGCAATGTGGCCTTGTGGCCTTGTAGCCGCGTGTATGTATGTGTATGTATGTGTGGGTGTGTGTGGAAGGGCGGAGGGGAGAAGGGATGGAATGTTTAGTTGAGTCATACCGCGCTCGATAGTTGTTTGAAGCCTTTATATGACACGCCCAGCCCCCCCCCCCCCTCCCCCCCTCCCCTCGCCCGCCCCTTGCCGAAAGAGGCATCGGAACGGAGGATAGAGCGGGAGAGGTGCCAGCCAAGTGCGACGGTCACTACCGCATCGTCAAGCCACACGAGGGGAGCCATTTCCTGACACTTGCCCCGAAGCCGTGGCCGCCGTGGGCACTGTCGACTGCTCAAAGTCCATGATCGACAAGTGGCTGGTTCGCCGGAGAGGGGGGTTAAACTGGGAGATGGTCAAAAGTTCAGCCGACGCCGAGGCCAGGCGGTTCATGGTGGTGTAGTTGTCCGATCCGGGCGGGCTGTCGCCGGTGTGCTGGCCGTCCTGACCGAAGTCCTGGCCGGGACGCATGAGCGCCGGCAAGTTATCCGCTGAGGTGCTCTCGCCGCCGGCAACTCCCGGGGTGGTGGCGGAGCCGCGTCGACCTGCAGGATGTCCAGCGGTGCCTGGCAGGACATCTGCCTGGAAAGCTCGGCCAGGGTGGCCGGCCTCCCCGGGCGACCGTGGGCCGGGGGGAGGGTCTGCCGGTGCGGCCGGGGCATACATGCCGAAGGAAGACGAAGCCATGGTCCTCGGGCTGGGAGCCATCAGCCCGCCGGTGGCGGTGGGGTTGGCCAGGGTGAACTCGATGTCGATGGGGCTGCCGGTGGCCACGAGCGAGGCGAAGATGGGCCCGGGCTCGCCGCGGTGCTCCGCGCCATCCGTCCCATCGGACCGCATCATGTCAAAGGGCGAGCCGGCCTCGGCGTAGCCGCCCATGGCCGTGGGGGCGCCATCGGCCGCCGGGTCGAAGAAGCTGCCCGAGTGCGAGGCATGGAGCCCAATACTCCGATGGTCGCCAAAGGTGCTGCCCAGATCCGCCGGCGAGTGGTGGTGGTGGTGGTGGTGGTGGTGGTAATGCGAGTGGGGATGGGGGTGGAATTGCCGGCTGCCAGCTGCCGAGCCGGTGGCGTGCGGTGGCGGCCGGACGCCTGGCAGGCCGACCAGCACCGACTCCGAAGACCGGATCCGTCGCATGCTCGGGGACAGCGGCGCCGGGGGCGGGCTCTGCAGCACCACCATCGCCCCGGGGGCCGAGCCCAAGCCGCCGAGATCGGCCACGGTGGAAGCCCGCCGGGCGCGCTCCAGCTGCTTTTGCTTGGCCCGCCAGTCGTGCTGCTCTTTGCGGATCATGGCATCCTCGACCTCGCGCTTGCCCTCGCTGGCGCCCCAGGCACAGAGCAGGTGCGACAGCTGGTTGCCAATTTCATATCGAAGGTCCCCAAAGAGCCGGTACAGCATCAGGTCATGCAGCGGCTCCAGGTATCGCGGTGGCGGGTGCGCGGCGGCCGGGGCCATTGGCGCGGGGTCCAGGCGGGGGGAGGCCGTGGCTGAGGCCGAGGCACAGCCCGGGCCCACGAGGGAGGCCGGGGCCGGCGGCGAGCCCGGCGGCGACCCGCCATGTGCGCTATGCTGTGCCGGCGAGTGGCCGGCCACCATCGGTGGCATCGCCGGGTACGGCAGGGTGACGGCGTCCGAGCCGAGCCCCGGCGACTGGGGGCTTGGACTGGGCGGCTGCTTGGCCGAGTGCAGACCCTCGGCCACCAAGACCGCGGCCTTGCCAGCGGGCGGGTTGACCGTGCCGCTGGTGCTGGACATGCTGGTCTGCGAGGAGCCCCCCGATGCGTGGAGGCTTGAGTCGGCGGTGCCGAGGATCGGTGACGCGCTATTGATGACGGCCAGATCGCCGACCATGCGCCCGGTTGGCAGGCGCCCGGCAGGACCGGCCCCGCCCCCATGCAGGGGCGCCATGCCGCGGGCCCCGGCACCGCCGTCGACCACCCCGGGGCCACCGATGCGGGCTTCCGGATCTTCGGACGGGCCTGCATGGGCCGGGCCCAGGGTGCCAGGCCCGGTGGCCGAGCCTCGACGGTAAGAAGGCGTGGCGCTCTGGCGCCGGCGTCCGGCCCCGCTGAAGGTGCTCAGGGCCTTGGACCAGGGGGCCCGGCGTGCCGAGTACCGGTGGTGTGCGGCACCCTGCCCGTGCCCGGGGCCGCCTGTGCCGGCATCTGGCAGGGACATGGCCTCGTCGATTTTGATGAAGACCTTCTGGATGAAGTCCGCCAGTTCCGGCGTTTCGGCCGGGGGCGGGATCTCCCGGATGCATTCGATGATCTTGGCCCGGGCCGCGTGATCGATGTTCAGTTAAAGTGTGGCGCCAGGCAGGATGAACACCAGGATGATCTGCAGGGCCTCCTTGTAGCGCTCAACCTTGGAGCATGGTGGGCGTATGCGAGCGTGCTATGAGTATCAGGGACGTGTAGGGTGGTTTTGACCATGGCAGAGGTGTTTTTGCTGGTTACAGAAGGCCCCCCCCCACAGGCACTGGCCAATTTGCCCGTAGCAGACCCGTGCATGGAGGCCCTCTGAGAAGAGGGCCACAGGACGGCCGTGGTCTCCCCCTCACTTTCTGTAAATCTCTCTCTCTCTCTCTCTCTCTCTCGCATTTCATCTCTCTCATTCCATCTCTCTCATTCCATCTCTCGCATTCCATCTCTCGCATTTCATTCCTCTCATTCCATCTCTCGCATTTCATTCCTCTCATTCCATCCCTCTTCCATCTCTCACAGCTCACCCGCCACACCATTTCTGGATGCCCACAAGGGCCGAGGCCACGCACCATATAGTAGGTTTTCCGGTCCAGGAACTTGCGGCTGGTCACAAACTTCTCCGAGAAGGACTTCCGGTAGTGCGTCTCGCGCTTCCAGAAGTACATCTGCTCGGAGTTGAAGGATTGGGTGCAGAAATTGAAGAAGCCCACCAGCCCCTCGGGCGAGGAGTGGCGCTCGAACATGGAGAAGGTGAATCTCTTCATGTCGCCGGAGAATTCCACCAGGTTCGACGAGTCCGAATGCGAGCCCGCCGTTGCTCCCATGCCGCCGGGGCCACCGCCGCCCAGGGCATCGGCCGGGGCCATCATGGCGTCGTTCAATGGCCCGAGATAGTACTGCGGACTGATCGGACTCCCGGGGCCGAGGCCCTCCGGCAGGTCGGCCAGGGCCGATGCCAGCGGATAGTGGCCGCCATCCACGACGTCCGGAGCCAGGCCTCCGCCAAATGACTGGCTGTCGGCCGAGCTCAACTGCCGGGCAGTGGTGGTGGTAGTGGTAGTGGTCGCCCCGCTGGCAAGGGTGTAGTTGGATTGCTCGCCGGGCGGCCGGCTGCTGGGCGGCCGGCTGGCGTTGTAGGCCCGCTGACGCCGGGCCTCATCCGCGAAGAAGCTGTGCAAGGGATGATATGCGCCCGGGCACGGCCCGGTGGTAGAGAGACAGGGCGGAGGCGAGGCAGACACCGGGAGGGAGAGAGAGAGAGAGAGGGAGTGGGGATGAAGGTGGGTCATGGGAGTGTGTATGTGTTATTACATGAAGGGCCGCGTCGCCCAGCCCCTCGCATCCCCTCGCCTCGGCTCCCCATGCCTGCCGTCACCCGGAGGCCGACAAGAGCGCGCGGCAAAGGGCGGCCGGGGCAGGAGGCCGGGGCTAAGAGAGCCGAGTAGCCAGGATATGTGAGGGCATCTGAAAGGGTGTCTTTTGGATCGGTAGATATCCACATCTATCCATCTAAATGTGTGTGCGCGCGCGCATGCACTATGCCGACACGAGATCGATATCCTCCCGGGCCCTGGCGCTTGCCAGTCCTCACCGCCAGGTCTGGGGGTCGCCCTTCGCCGTGGGGCACGGCGAAGGGCTCGGGCCGGCCTCCCCTGCTTCTGGCTCCTCGTCTGGACGCCCACTCCACTCATAGGCCAGACCCCCGGCCCCATCACCGCCACAGCACGGGCACACGTACGTCAGGCGCCGGAAGAACTTGGTGAAGGACAGCGCATAGGGGAAGACATTCGTCCAGAGGGTCGATCCGGAGATGCATGCACACACGGTGTGCATGGCGGCCGCCGAGAAGACCGGGTCCTGATACAGGGCCGCCAGGACGAAGACAAAAAAGCCCCCCGTGGCAAAGAAGCCGAAGACCTTCACGGGGGGGGGGGGCGGTGCAGAGGGGGAAAAATCCCACAGGGACGCAGGGCATGTCAGGAAGCGTACGAGCCGGCGGGGAGAGGCAACACCACAAGGGGAGGGACAAAGTGAAGGACACCCCGGCGGACCAATCCACCGGTGACACGCTTGGGGCGTCATCAAATGCCTCCCCCGCCCACAACACCAGGGCACCCAAAGGAAAAGCAAGGGCCACCCCGATGCCGGCAACAGAGTCCCCAGGCACATACGGCGAGTTCCGTGCGGATGCGATAGGCGTCCTTGCGTGTCCACAGCAGGAAAATCATCACCACGCCGAAGATGGCCTGGATGCCGGCCGAGATGGCCAGCACCGGCAGCATGTAGGCCGAGCAGCCGCCCCCATCGTCGGTGTACCGGGGCCGGCCCGAGCGCCCGGGAAAGACCGGGCTCAGGGCGTAAGTCAGGCTGACGTTGAGCGCCACCGCCAGGAGGAAGATGACCATCTGCGGCCAGCCGGGGGCCACCATGCGCCGGAGCTTGTCCGCGCGGCGAAGCTGCACCAGGATGCTGGAATTGCGCGAGGGCTCGCCATTGGACAGGGTCTCGCCCCGGCCGAGGGTGAAGGCCGCGCCGGCGGCCCCGCTGCCACGGGGCCTCGAGGCGCCGCCGACCACCGGTCCCGGGCCACACGGCCCCAGGGCCCCGGGGCCCGGGGTGCTCGGCTCGTCGTCATCGTCATCGTCATCCGGGCCGCCGCCGCCGCCGCCGCCGCCGCCGCCGCCGCCGGCCATGGTGCCGATGCTGCTGGTTGTGTGGCTGGACCCGCGGCGGTAGTGGTCCCCCTCCCGGCGCCCAGGGCGATCCAGGGGTGCCAGGGTGCACTCGGTTTCCGAGATGTTGCTCGAGTCCAGGAAGGTCAAGCCCGAGGAGTCCCCCTCGAAGTGCTGGCTGCCGCAGGAGGACGAGGAGGAGGTCATCGTGTGGAAGCCCCCATCGGCGGCCGACCCGCCGGCCGACCCCTTGTGCAGCAGGGCCTTCTCGCGCATGATGATCGCCATGGACCCGCTGGAGGGGGCCGGGTTGATGGGCGGGCCGCCGGCCCCGGCCGCTCCCTCGGTGGCCTGCGAGGTGGCCATGCCGTCCATGCCATACCCCGGTCCCGGGAGCTGGTGCAGCTTGATGTCGTGTACGCTGGATTGCCGTGTGAAGGCCAATGTATCGGACGAGTGGTCGACATTCTTCCGCCGGGCCGAGGAATAGATCCGGTCCTGCGGCAGGAGATGCTGCAGCTTAAATGTAAGCGCATGGAACTCGTGGTCCGCGTAGAGGTAGAGCCCGCGCAGGAGGAGGGGCTATTCTCGGGCTCGGGTTAACTGGCGGCTTGTGGGGCGAGTAAAAGGCCAAATTCGCAAACCGTCTGAACAGGCCTCCCCCGCCTCCCCCTCTCCGGCCCCGCTGCTCCCGACTCACTGCCGCTATCAGGGCACCGACCGACCGGGAGGTCGCGGGCATCTCCCGGGCCCGTGGCGCGCGAAAAGCGCCTGGCAGCGGGTGCCGAAGAGTGGCCGGCGGGTGGCGCTCCAAAGGCAAGGCAAGGCAAGATGCGTCGGCGATGTCGGCAGGGCGGCAGGCCGGCCTCCGGGCGATGGGCACGCACCAGCACCCACAGCGTGGGCATGGAGTTGATGAAGATGAAGGGAAAATGGCAGCTGATGGGGTGAAGAGAGGCCAAGACCGCGGCCACGGTCAGACCGCCGGAGATGTTGGAGATCAAGTGCGACAAGACGCCTCGGGTGCGGATCGGCTCATGTCGCAGCCGGCTCATGTACAGGCCCAGGAAGACCGCCGGCACGGCGAGATAGAAAATGAGCGCCACATCGGACCTGAGCATGCCATTGGCCAGAGGGCTGGCCTGTAGCTCCGGCATGTTGTTGGGCGACAGCCACTGGCGTGGATTCAGAGTAGGCATCGGGGAGGCGGATGGCTAGG